GAGATCCCCAAGATCTAGGGGGATCGACTGGTGGTACAGGTGCAGCAAATCCAAGCCGGGTGTGAGAGATCCACAGAGATCTGGGGGACCGACTGGGCAGGCGGGTGCAGCAGATCCAAGCCAGGTGAGAGGGATCCCCCGAGATCTAGGGATCGACTGGGGTGTGTGGGCGCAGCCGATCCAAGCCTGGTGAGAGAGAGATCCCCTGAGATTTAGAGGGAGGGGTCTAAAATATTATTATTATTATTATTATTATTATTATTATTATTATCGCGATTATTATTATTAAAAATGAAAAATATCGAGATTTCTGGGGAGATTTCCTTGAGATTTCAACACAACCGGGAGCAGCAGATCCAAGCCAGGTGTTATGGGGTAATAGTAGTAATAATAATAATAATAATAATAATAATAATAATAATAATAATTGTTGTTATTATTGTTATTATTATTAACGAAAAATATCGAGATTTCTGGGAGATTTCCTTGAGCTTTCAACACAACCGGGAGCAGCAGATCCAAGCCAGGTGTTACGGGCTAATAATAATAATAATAATAATAATAATAATAAATTATTGTTGTTATTATTATTATTAATCACCCGGTTTCTCTTGATTATTAATTATTATTATTAATAATCTCTTTCCCTCCCCAGGAACACGACAGGCGTCACCGAAGAAGCGCTGAAGGAGTTCAGCATGATGTTCAAGTAAGTTGGACGGATTTCCGGATCAATCGATTCCCAAGATGGATGGATGGATGGATTGATAATTCCCAAGATAGATAGATAGATAGATAGATAGATAGATAGATAGATAGATAGATACTTCCCAGGATGGATGGATTGATTGATAATTCCCTAGATAGATAGATAGATAGATAGATAGATAGATAGATAGATTGATACTTCCCAAGATGGATGGATGGACTGATTGATTGATTGATAATTCCATAGATAGATAGATAGATAGATAGATAGATAGATAGATAGATAAATTCCCAAGATTGATGGATGGATTGATTGATAATTCCCTAGATAGATAGATAGATAGATAGATAGATAGATACTTCCCAAGATGGATGGATTGATTGATTGATTGATAATTCCATAGATAGATAGATAGATAGATAGATAGATAGATAGATACTTCCTAAGATGGATAGATTGATTGATTGATAATTCCCTAGATAGATAGATAGATTGATTGATACTTCCCAAGATGGATGGATTGATTGACTGATTGATTGATTGATAATTCCCTAGATAGATAGATAGATAGATAGATTGATACTTCCCAGGATGGATGGATGGATTGATTGATAATTCCCAAGATAGATAGATAGATAGATAGATAGATAGATAGATACTTCCCAAGATGGATGGATGGATTGATTGATAATTCCCAAGATAGATAGATAGATAGATAGATAGATAGATAGATTAATTCCCAAGATTGATGGATGGATTGATTGATAATTCCCAAGATAGATAGATAGATAGATTGATTGATTAATTCCCAAGATTGATGGATGGATTGATTGATAATTCCCAAGATAGATAGATAGATAGATAGATAGATACTTCCCAAGATGGATGAATGGATTGATTGATACTTCCCAAGATGGATGGAGTGATTGATAATTCCCAAGATGGATGGATTGATTGATAATTCCCAAGATAGATAGATAGATAGATAGATTAATTCCCAAGATGGATGGATGGATTGATTGATTATTCCCAAGATAGATAGATAGATAGATAGATTAATTCCCAAGATGGATGGATTGATTGATTGATAATTCCCAAGATAGATAGATTGATTGATTGATACTTCCCAAGATGGATGGGGTGATTGATAATTCCCAAGATGGATGGATTGATTGATAATTCCCAAGATAGATAGATAGATAGATAGATTAATTCCCAAGATGGATGGATGGATTGATTGATTATTCCCAAGATAGATAGATAGATAGATAGATTAATTCCCAAGATGGATGGATTGATTGATTGATAATTCCCAAGATAGATAGATTGATTGATTGATACTTCCCAAGATGGATGGATTGATTGATAATTCCCAAGATAGATAGATAGATAGATAGATTAATTCCCAAGATGGATGGATGGATTGATTGATTATTCCCAAGATAGATAGATAGATAGATAGATTAATTCCCAAGATGGATGGATTGATTGATTGATAATTCCCAAGATAGATAGATTGATTGATTGATACTTCCCAAGATGGATGGGGTGATTGATAATTCCCAAGATGGATGGATTGATTGATAATTCCCAAGATAGATAGATAGATAGATAGATTAATTCCCAAGATGGATGGATGGATTGATTGATTATTCCCAAGATAGATAGATAGATAGATAGATTAATTCCCAAGATGGATGGATTGATTGATTGATAATTCCCAAGATAGATAGATTGATTGATTGATACTTCCCAAGATGGATGGATTGATTGATACTTCCCAAGATGGAT